TTGTCAATACCCCATTAACAATTATTGAGGGGAAAACCAGTATTGAATCTCTAGATGTTTATTTATTTATCTTTGATTGATTAAAGACTTTGGTTTAATATCAAGTATGATTTTCGATTTTATAGTTTTCGAAAAGATATCGTAAAATGACAAGTGAAGCACCAAGTTGGGCGGATCAATGGGGAACCGGAGGGATCGGAGAGATGCCGGAGGAAGAGAACACCAAAGACATCGGCGGTAAGAATGCCAGCAAGACCAACTCGGGAAACAAAAGCAAGATTGTTGACTTCATAAGTTTCAAGTGGATGAAGAATCTTGTGCACAAGAAGAAGAAGAATGACTCTGATTCTTCTTAACATTAAAACCACACAAAAAAAAAAACTCAAATTCTTGAAATGCAAAAGAAAATTCTTTGTACCCTTTTTCTTCTGAAGATCTCAAATCTATCATTGTATTTGTTTATTTTTTATATGTGGAATTTCATGTGAGTTAATGAGTTGTGGTGCATCCCACGATTGAAAGCTTTTGATTTATTTATATGGTGATATGATCTTGAAAATAAAATGTTGTATTTTAATAACAAGTAGCCTGCATTGATAGCTATTTTCTCTTTTGTTTTTCTCACAAATTGTTTATTTAAAATTCGCAATAGATTTTATCAAGTTTTTCAACCGTAAATATGTCACTTGTCCCACAAATACCCAAACTACATGTTATGATCAAAATGGGTAAAAGTGAATCAATAGATGACACCAAGTTGTGAGTACATAAGTAAACCCAAACTATAGAAAATGAATTCAAAGTAACATTTACATATGATCAGTTCAAAGCAACATAAAGAACTTTTGCAAATTCATAGTCATAAAGAGCATATCATATATACATGAAACACTAAAAGTAGACACTTAAACCAAACCAAAAGTGTTCTCTCCACTGTAAGTCATGTAGAGAAACCCATCTTCGTCTTTGTTCTCTTCATAGATTGCAGACATCATTGCAGCTGCAAAAACATCAACAAAAAGCGATTCATCTTTGTTTCGAGTTTGCAGAGAAATGTATGCGCAAATTAGCACCGGGTTTTCTTAAGAGCAAAAAAATGAAGATAAATCAGTTTTTAGTGCTAAGAGTCGTGTGTTACCAGTTGGGGGCAATGTGTTCTTCACAAATACAAAGATAGCCTTTTCGGCGCTAAGCTTAATTCTTTTCCGGACAACATACACAAACTGCCCCACAGTTAGATCAGCCGGAACAAGGTACCTGAATAAATCAACCAAAAAGTCACAGATCAACAAGAATTACTTCCATCTATCTCATTTCTTTTAGTCTTGGGTTAAGATCAATCTCATTTTGGTTTCATACTACATCACAGAGTTATAGCTCTCAAGACAATGTCCAAAGGTATTCTTTTTTCTTTGGACTCCCTAAGTAAACCGAAACTGTGTCACTTCTTCTTTAGACTCCCTAAGTAAACCGAAACTGTGTCGAATTCATAAGTTGCCAATAAGAAAGAAGAGAAAAAGAAGAATGTCATTACTGACTTCTTCTTGTCGATATTCGGGACATCACTTCTTTCAGCTTTTTCTACAATCACCTGCAACATATACTTTCTCTGTTAAAAGAAGAAGTTCTACATAGAAGAATATACAGAGAGAGTTACAACAAAAAAATGTTCAAATGGCATTACTGGAACTCTGTCCGGGTACTTCTCCCTGATGCGAGAAGCTTCGATTTGTCTCCTCTCTGAAATCACAAACCCCAAAAGGATTATGGGAAAAAAAGAAAGAGAGATGTAACTTCAAAGTAGAAAGAAATCATTGGAAACATTAATGATTTATTGATCCTCTGTATGAAATCTCCATCAACAATCTTACAATCGATTCTAAACAGTAACAACAAGGTCTGATCTATGCTTAATCAAAGATTCATAATTTTTCTAGTGATCACTAACAAACTCATTGGAAACATCAATCGACCGTAATAACCAAGTCCATCTCAACGATCCATTAGAAATGATTACCATTTTAAAGAGTAACAAGATGATTAATCAAAGATCCATAATTTCTAGTGATCACTAACAAAACCCAGAAGGTCTTTTCGTACAATTCTATGAAGAGAAAACTTACCCAGTGGATGTTCCAACTTGAAAGAGCTATTAGCCATGGCTATTAAAAAAAATTCGAACTTTCTGAAATCAGAATACAAACTCAATCAAACACGAATCGAAATCTGGCGAGATCGAATCATCGTACATATTTATGGAAGGAATTCGAAAAAAAGGCCTAGAAATTACGAAATCAGAGAAGAACATACCAAAATCAAAGGTCAAATTTTTATGGGTTTCGTGTAGAAAACTCAATTAGGGTTTCAAGATTCCTAATCTCTCTGCTCAGAAACTAATAACTGAAAAATCTCAAAGTTATCGTCATCGCTTTATTTTATTGGTCTATTTGCCATTTGTCCTACTGCAGAACCGGAAACTTGTACCGGTTTTATGGTTTGGAATATATTCGGTTCTTTAATTGAATTTCATGGAATATATCAAAGAATCTTTTTTTTTTGTTTTAGAGAAAAACAA